GCGTGATGAACGCTAAGCCACCACCATTATCTCGCTCGCGATCTCGACGGTGCACGTTGTACCCGGCGCAATTCAACAAAGTTGAATTGCTGTGCAACTTCGTCTCTTGGACCGCAGCTATTAATATACCATGCCGACACATGAAGACGGTTATCTCCTCAATCTTGCTCTGTAGCCCGTTGCAGTTAAATTGAAGGAGCTTCATGTGGTTCGGGAGACGTGTCGTGATGTGGGGTGTTAGTGAAGTGTATGTTCTTGCCGCCGTTGGCTGTGTGTGCTACTGAGGTGATTGCCGCCCTGTGGTGGTGGTGGGGGGCGTCGCAATTGGAGTCTGCAGCGCAACACGGGCCCTCGAAGTTCCCCGTCCAATCTCGCGTGGTACGCAGACTTGAGCATGCCCTAAAGTGGCACCAGCCAAGGCAGGTGTTGCACTTGACTGATGTCACATTACGGAATATCCTGGTCTGACATACCGTGCAGATTGTAGGGGGTCTCATCCGACGCTGTTTAGGCGTTTTCAGGCGGGGTTTTAACGTGGCGGGACCCAAACCCAGCGCACGCGAAGTTTACGCCTTCTCACCTTAGCTCGCTCCTAAACGGGTGTTTGGTCGCAACCCAGAGGATACGTACGCACAAGAATGACTTGTGGCCACTCCCAGGTGAATGGTGGTCAAAAGTTTTTCCCACTTACGTGGACTTCTGCATACGGAACCATCCTCCAAGCAATGTATTAGTAAAAAGATTTCAGGGGGTGTGCACAGCGCCGTGGTTAGCGTTGCAGACTTTGCTGAAGTCTAGAATAAGAAATGTGATGAGGAGAGGTTCTGTCTCCGAAATAGCAGCTATAACTTCTGCAGCTCAATAACATTGCTAAAAAAAACTATAATTTAAAAAGGTATACGGGAAGGTTTGCTGCATGATTCAATAAGAACAGGTTTGCTCAGAAAACAGGGCTCAAATCGTCACATACGATATCGTACTACTCGTCACGTAAAAATACATTTTTCGGATTATGACATACGTGATCGTACCCTTTGTCCAATTCAGTTTATACTGACCGACGTATGACATAATTTTCTTTCGTATCATTTTCGATCCGTGAACGGATGTTACGATTCCAGCCCAGCTTTCTCGGTCCCTCTTGACAAAATCGGCTCCCTATTTGTTTGTAGAAGGATGAGCGCTTATAATTTATTCACACCGACTTATTGAACGAGCGAATTTTAAGGTATTCGCTATCTGTTACCCATTTTTCTGGCTTGATGAACGCTTTCTGGGCTGTTTTGGGCACACGCGGGCTCATGTGGAACAAACCTACTTGCTGTGTTTCCTTGCACAATGATTGGGACAACGACGTGATCCTGATAGAGATCTGGTTCAGTTTATTATCTGCTCTTTGCTGCACGGTTTGGTAGCACTGACAAATGATTGTAAACGCATACAAATATTCTGCCATTTGGGGCTCTTAACTTGATTCAAATATTTAAGTGAATATTATTTCGTTTAAATGTACATTTCCGCATTTAGTGAGCCTTTTTTTTAAATTTCGTCTCTCTCGTGCTAGTAGTATAAAATTAGTGCTGCCAACCCCAACGAGAATGATCCCGATCGTTTCGTGTGAAATAATCGTGATACTGAATTGCATAACCTAAGGAAGCAACTATAATGTTCACTGTTTTGGTTACCCTGTTTTAAATCTAAAACTTGGCATCACTCTGCAGAACGTATACGTGACAGTGATGCCAGATTGTGGGTAATTTCCCTCTTTGAGGGATATTGTGCATCAAAAATTATTAAAAGGGAAAAAAGGGACATTTCATATAAATAAGGGATTTTCTTTTGACACAGTTATTGTTGCATAATTGATCAAAATTCAAGAATATTCGACATTCTTACGTAATTAATCGTTCTGAAGATGTGATGTGGAGTGAAATGGTATATAATTGTTAAAAAGTATAAGGCCAATGTAGGTATTTATTTTAAATAACAAAACTTATTTTATTTTCTGTTGTACACAATTTGAGAAAAGTTTGAATAACAAAAATTTTCTATTTGATTGACGAACCACAAAAATCACATAAATCTAAAATTTCCAAAATTACAAAGTTGAAATGAACACAGTACAATAAAAGGTAATAACACAAATACAAACCCTACAATACTCCCCCTTCTAGAGACTTAAGGTTATATAAATTAAAAGTAACTCGTTTCTTATTTGATGTTGTGTTATTCATTGTATTAGTGTTTGTTTCTGGTATTAGTTCTGTTTCAATGATTGCTGGTTTTAGTCTGTCTATCGGAATTGTTTTAACCTCATTATCTACTTCAAGTTTGAAATATTTTTTGTTTTTTTCAACAACCTTATAAGGTCCTTCGTATGGTTGTTGCAATGATCTTTTATTAATAACACGCATAAAAACAAATTTACAAGTCTCCAAATCCTTTGGTATATATACACCAGTATCAGAATTTTGATTATGCCTTAAATTAATTCAAATTCCACTTTTAAATTTTAATATTTGGTGTGAAATGACATTTCTGAGCCTTATCACCAAATTTGTAATGGTATCTACATAACCAATTTTGTCTATCACGAGATTTTGATCTACCTCTATATGGACTTCTAAAACAATTCCTATTATATGATCTATATCTAGAATTTTGATTAATTTGTTGCTTAATTGAATTTAATTCAAAGGAAAGTTTTTGAAAATTTTCGCACATAAGATTCGTCGATTTGACTAAATTCTCAATAATTGTGTCTTGTGATTTAGAATTTTGAAAACTATTCATAGCTGATATTTCGGTTTTATTAATCACTTCCCAAATATTATCAGCTAGTTTCACCAATTCATTTATATCATTGGTACTTGAACTAGCTAATATCACACTAAGATTTTTTGGCAATTTTCTCAGCCAAAGTTTCTTTAAAATATCTAGACTAAAATTGGAACCTGCAAGCAACATGAGCGACCGATAAAATTCAGAGGGTTTACGATCACCCATCTCTGAATCTGACAAAATTTTATCTAATTTCTTATTTTCGCTTAAAGAATGTCTTTCAATTAAGACTTTCTTTAATTCTGAAAACTTGTTGTTATGCGGAGGATTTTGAATGAAATCTAATATTGTAACTATTACTTCTTGCGGAAGCGCTGTGATTGTGTGTTCATATTTTGTAGTATCTTGTGTAATGTTTTTCATGTTAAATTGCATTTCTGTATGTACAAACCAAGCTTCTGGACAACTTGTCCAAAATTGTGGAAGCTTGACTGAGGTTGCATACACCTCATTATTATTTTGACTAGCATAAGGATTTGCCAACTCCTCTTGAAAAGAGTTGTTTTGCAAATCTATAAGCGAGTCATTTAAATTATTTGTACGTGTAGTTGTGTGCGCGCCATGTTGTGGTGAGTGAAACATAGTGTACACAATTTTAACGTTATAAAAATTTCTAAAAGGAGTGTTCACAGTTTAGTTGACAAACCAAACTTTAATAATAATATAGTAAAATTGTACTAAATTATAATCAAAATAATTATCAAACATCTAAAATGGTTAATATGCTGCTTAATGAACAGCACAGTCAAATATAAATTTGTATATATATATATGTATATATATATAGATATGTTAAAATGTATTTAATAAATATCTTATATTTAATATATTTTACTTGCAATTTTTAAAATTTTTGAATTGTTGCTTTTGTTGTTGCCTGTGTCCGCTTCTTCGTCTTCTTCCTCCTGCAGCAGCAATGGCAGTGATGTTGGAGATGTTTTTGTTTCGTTCTGTTAATGCGCTACTACCAGCTGGAACTTCTCCTATTACGCTCAAAGAGGAGCATTGAGCACCGCTCAAACTTTCCGGTTGCTGTTCTTGATCTTGAGAACGCTGCTGCTGCTAGTTATGTGGTTGTTGTTGACTGGTTGATGTAATATCAGCACTTAAAATAGCTTTTCCAGTGACTGCTTCTAATGCAGATGCATCAATGATATCGGCAATTGTGCTAGTGTCGTTGAATGCGCATTGGTGCATTTGAAGCTGTTGCTGTTGTTGCTCTACTAATTGTGATTGCTGATCTTCAACAAAAGGCAATGGGGATATTGCTTTCTGATGTTGCGGCTGCTGTGATTCAAGTTGTGGTGATAACGGTGTTGGTAGTAGTGCGTGTTGGAATATGCCAGCTGCACGCAATGGTGCTACTCTTTTTCACTGCTGACTATTGCGACGCATTGCACTTCAACATTTTGGTGTAACATCTCATCATCTGTGGACTAGTACCGCGGAGCACAAACCAAATGTAGGTATTTCACAAAAATCACATAAATCTAAAATTTCCAAAATTACAAAGTTGAAATGAACACAGTACAATAAAAGGTAATAACACAAATACAAACCCTACAGCCAATTTCGAAAATTTTCTTACGTTAACCAATTAAAGCGCTGAGTAAGAAAGAATCTTTTCAGTTGTAACTGGTATTTCATGTAAAAAGCGGAACAAATTATCTGATGAAATGTTAAATAGCACATGAATGTGCTTCAATTTTAAAGTCACCAAAAAAATCTTTTAGGCCCTTAGTGAGTGAGCAAAAAAATGAAAGTGAAAAATTGAATGAGTGAAAGAAATGCGGAAAAAGGGGTTTTTTCTTAACAGCGGTCGGCCCTCGGCTTCTCATAAAAATATACTTGCCATTCGGAGTCGGCGTAAAACTGTAGGTCCCTCCCCTTTGTGTGACAACATCAAGGGGACCGCCACAATTTGGAGGAAAAGCACATATGTGTAAGCGCCAAACTATTATTATTATTTTATATGAATTTTACTTCTTTACTACTGAAACATGGGTATGTTTAAATTCGTTGGGAATTTTGTGGGATAAATTTTCAAGATGTGGGTAATAGAGGGATTTTTTCCCCATTTTCGTGGGATTTTTAACAGAGAATGTCTGGCATCACTGATACGTGATTTGTCTTGACAACGACGGCCAACTTCGCGTGAATTCTGAATTCTCTCTTTTGCATTTGACATTAAAATGGCTAACCGTGGAGGTAATCGTGCTCGTCAGGAAGAAGTGGATAATACCATTAATTACGTACAATGTGACGGCTTGGTAAGTTATAAACCAAGGAGAAAGTTGTTTTCTGCATTTTGTACGTTAAATAGATTCGACAAACGCAGGTTTATTGGCCAGGGGTTGCGTTGAAGTCTGCTTCATAGCGGCAGCAGTTGTCAAAATTTCACACGTTTGCTATTTGTGAGCAATAGAGAGCGCTCTTTAGCATTGCCAATAGCGCAAATTATTTTGTTTTGTTTAATTATTTACACCATGTATTTATTTAAAGGCTGTGATGAAAATGGTTAAACATTGCCATGAAGAATCGAGCAACATGGATTTGGCTCAAGGCGCACTGCTTGGTTTGGTCGTTGACAAGTGTTTGGAGATTACTAATTGCTTTCCCTTCCCCAAGAGCGGCGATGAGACTATGGACGAAGAAATGTATCAGTTAACGATGATGCGTCGTTTACGCCGTGTCAACGTTGACCATTTCCATGTTGGTTGGTACCAGAGTTCGGATGTAGGAAATTTCCTGTCAATGGCTTTACTCGAATCCCAATACCACTACCAGACTAGCATTGAAGAGTCGGTCGTTGTTATCTACGACACACAAAAGTCTGGTCGTGGTTTTCTTTGCTTGAAAGCCTATAGGCTTACTCCACAAGCCATTCAAATGTATAAAGATGGTGATTTTACACCTGAAGCTCTACGCAACTTGAAGGTGGGCTACGAGAGCCTTTTTGTCGAGATACCAATCGTTATTAAGAACTCTCCTCTGACCAATATAATGATGAGTGAGTTGAGTGAAATGTTGCCTGAAGAACAAGGGCAAAATTTCTTGGACTTAGGCACTGCCTCGGTATTGGAAAACCAAATGCGTTGCTTGATCGAACGAGTTGATGAACTGTACCAAGAATCAATACGTTACAACAAATACCAGCAAGTAGTGTTCAAACAAGAGACGGTAAGTGAATGAAATCAAACTTGCAAACAGTTATGATATTTGTTAATTTCAGGAAAAACATCGTGCTTTGGCCAAACAGGCTGCTGAAAATATTTTGCGCAGCGCCAAGGGTGAATCGCCCATTCCAGAAGAGGAGGTACTCAAACAGTTCCGTCCACTTCCTGTTCCACCTAGATTAAACGCAACAATCACATCGGGGCAAATCAACACTTATTCACAACATATTTCGCAATTCTGTTCGCAATCATTGGCAAAACTTTTTATCACTCAATCTTTACAAAACGCCAAAGAGACCAAAGAGTCCAAATAAATAAAGGATTATTTGGAAATTTCGGAAAGCAACATTGGCATATGTTTAAGAAACGCGTGATTTGAAATTAATTGTTATAGTAGAAGAAAAAGGTAAACTGAATTGCCATCATATGCAAAATCTGGGAGAATATACTTTGATCACAGAACAAAGGCGAAAAGGTAGCATTTTTATTTCCAAATCTGAGTTGAATAAGTTATTTGTGCTTTAATAATAATAAAATGTTGGCGATTACACCTTTGCGAAGTGGATAATCTCCACTTTGTGAACTTACAGTTTTACGTCGTTACCAAACGTCAAATGCTATTAAGGAGCGGCTTTTTCCAAGGCAGAATTACACAGTGGTTTTCTGTACCCTCGAAATTAAATGCGAACTATGCGATATACATTTTTAACATGATGTTTTTCTTTTCACCTTTCAAGAACAGCATACCAAAAAGTTATGCCGTAGGTCCCCTAATTTGCATTAATTACCCCAAACAACTTTTGATGAGATAGTCAACTTTTAATAGAGACAACAACAGTTTATAATGCGAACTTGGCACAGGGCGTAGGCAACTGGCTGAGTCAGCTGGGGTCGGCGGTTCGAGTCCCGCTGAAGAAGTCTAGTGAGGAGATATGGTGATCTCCGAAATAGCTATCACTTCCAGCATTTATAAATTATTGTTAATTTTTCCACAATAGTTTTCATTAAAAAAACGGCCTCAAGCTCAATAAAATAATTGAATTCAGACACTTGGAAAATAGAGTCTCGATATTGCGAAAATCGTATCTATTACATTTTTAGTATATCCATTAAGTAGATTACCGGCAAAAAGTAATGTGTCAAGATAGAGCTTTTTACCCAAAATATGTATGGCTGCACTGGAAACCCAGCGGGGACTTACATTACGCCCTATGTTAAATTTCTGCTGATTGGCAGCTCTGCAAGCAAAACCAGTTGATTTCTTATAAAAAGTAGAGATGGGCGAGTCCGAGATGTTTCAACGATCGAGAATCGTCAATCGAGTCAATAATCGACTCGCTGCCTGACCGTGCCATCGAGATGTTTTTCGATTGTCTCGAGTCTACTGAATTATCGCCGACGAGATCGTTAATCGAGCGTTATTTTAAATATACATACATATTTACATATCGCTTACAAATCGTCGCCTGGGTAAAAGATTGTCGTATGTTACGCACGAACGTATGACGCCCACGACAATCTTTTACCCAGGCGACGAAATTTAAATCCTAAAAGTATTGTTCGGAAGTTCAAATTTATACTGATTGAGAGATTGTTGGGTGTCCAGCCTAAGAAAAATTTACTAAAAATAACGTTTTTGTGTTTAATTACTATTCTTAACATTAAAAAACGTAATTTTATGTCTTTATAAAATAAAAATTAAAAAACAATCCCTAGAAGTCTGTCCTCCCAATATTTACTATCATGGATCTCATTTATTTGTTTACCAACCAACAAGGATATGCTTATTTGTTTTTTCGTAGTAAATATACATATGTATTGTTTGAAAGTCCATTTTTTCGCGCTTCGTACTGAAGGTGTGACAGACATCTAAGCACGACTATTTTCGAGTGGCAATTCGTCTAAGAAAAAAACCATCGAGAACAATCGACTAAAACATCTCGGACTCGCCCACCACTAATGAAAAGTGCGTTGGAGCCTTGGGTAATAACGCAATTTTTATAGCGCTAGCGCGATAACGCCGGCGCCACCTGTAGGGTAGCGTACTAAGCGCAATAGCGCAATGTGCTGATTTGAACACGGCGCCATCAGAGGGTCCCCACAGTAGCCGTCGTCCCACCTGAGCCCAACCGAATTTAATTGCTAGGAATGTATGTAGTAACTGCCCCGATATTTTCATCATTCTGGAGTGAAATCTTTAAATTTGCCCAGATACACAAGTTTCACCACTCCGAAGCAAAAACAAAGTATGCACGTGTGATTTTTCAAAGAATTTAGGCGAATTGTGTGTGTGTCGTCATGTGTTTCGGGTGTTAATGCGCTAGCGCTTTTCAAATATTTGGTGCTGGCGCGGGAACTCCGGTTACGGTGTTAGCGCAATTGCGCGGCGAACCGCAGTGTTACCCATACCTAGCGCGTTGATGGTTAGATTCTTTTTCCGGTTTTTGTTTATTAAATATTTGAGTCACAGTATAGACAGTAACCAACCTTTTTGGGTTGTTGTTGTAGTAGTCGTTGTTGTTGTAGTTATATTCACTCCTGAGGAAGGCACGGGGTTGTGTGCTGCTATTTAATGGCCTTCCTCAAACTTTTTCTTAGATATCAGGGTTGTGTGCTGCATTATTATTAGATAAATAAATTTAAGCATTTGACAAATCGTGATTTTATTAAAAGAAAATTATAAATGGTGTTGAAAAACCAAACAAACGCTCGTGCGAAAGCTCTATTTTTGTGTCTTGTTAAAATTTATACATGGCGTATTGATGGTAATACAAGCAATGTATTCTTTTGTGGATTTTATGTTACTTGAGAATTTAGCCAACGTGCGAGCTGCCAGGTTCTGTTATCAATATAATTAACACAAGCTTTTTCGCGTAGTTGCCTTTCAATAAATAGAATAAACAAATATTCGCAAATAAATTGGATTTATTTTATAACTGACAACTAACGTACGCTTTTTGTTCTTTTCTCCATTTTGATTTTGACTCTATTACCGCCAACAGCTTTATGTGTATACATATTTACAAGCTGTCAAAATTTTGCGTAGTCACACGAGCTAGGTAAAAACTATGGCATTCTTATTCACAAGGAGAAATCTCAAAATTTTTGTTTGGTATTTCCAAATTTTCTCTTTAGTTTCTCGTTGAGTTAGTAATTTCATGTCAATTAGTAGAAAAGTTCCATGATGTATACCATTTTATGTGGAATTATTCAATAAATTTCGTTTTACAACATACTTTTTGAAACTATTTGAAGGTAATTATTTTTTGTTTGTTAAAAGCAACCCTGCGTGCTTGGAAGGCGTGTGTACCAATAATTTCACCCCTAGCATATTCATCCCCGAGGAAGGCAGCCGCCAAATTCACCGAAGGTTGTTTACTGGTTATATTGTGATTTGAGTACTTTATTTTTCCGGCTTAAAGGCAAATAAAATGGACGAGGAAGAGTTCCTTTTGTGTCCTTACAATAATTCTCATCGAATTATACGCTACCGGATGCCAGGTCACATGATGAAATGCCGGAAAAGTTATAGTGGACCGCCACTGGAGCAGTGCATGTATAATGCAACACATTTGGTGCCGATTGGAACGATGGACGACCATTTGGAAAGTTGCCGCGACTATTACCAATTTCACAACACAGTTTTTGAGAAATTGGCGGAAAGTTGCAGACCGCACGATTGATATGAAAATGCGAGTGATTCACAGGATGCGAAGTTCCGATTTACCGATAGGTGGCATACACAGTGCGTCCGACTCGCGAGTCATTTGTGTACTTGTTGACTCGCCTTCGACTACACACAGTTGAATCAGTTTCACAAACACATCCTAACCATCTCACCAGTCTGACGCACTGTGTATTCCGCCTATAAATGGATAAAGGTTTTTGACACTTTTATAGTAGCTTGCTATAAATATTTACATTCAATTCATATTACATTAATATAAATATTATTAATAGTAATTAATATTAATATTTACATTCAGTTCATATTAAAACATGTGGGAAAACATTAAACTGCAAAAAAAAAAACGAAGGGGACAAAATTCGTTTTATCTACCCGACGCTTTTTCAAATAATAAAATTGCAGCTTATTTGACAGTACTTTGAAAGTAATTTATTAGTCATTTAAGTTAATAAGTCTACATAATTCTTGTAACCTATTTTCATAAAAAATACTTTCAAATACGATTATTATGGATAAGTCTCAAATCAACGATCTGCTTATGAGATTAAAGTGGTTAACAAATGTATTTTGAAGCAAATATGAATTTTATCCTTTTGTGAATTTAATTTTTAACTTAAAGTTTTGTGAAATAAAGCTTTACCTATATAATGACAACCAAGATGCTATTTTAATATTATTCGACCTAACATACGCCAACACATACAATGTTCAAGCAAAACTTACATATACCTTACAATTTTATATTAAAATCTACATTTATAGGTATTAGCACTGATTATTATCTTTACATGAGCGAGTGAGTTAGTTTTTAATGGTACTGTTGTGGTACTCTTCACCACTGTATACGCTACACTATGTCCATCTCCAGATCCGTTTCGCCATCAGAGTCAAGAAGCTTCCGCTTATCTTGCGATGCCTCGTTCAGGCTGATCAAAGGACGCACTTTTCCTGTATTCACAACAGGGCTTTGCGAGTATAAATATATAGCAAATGATACCACTGCAATGGCCATCGCTGTATTGATATAAATCGGTATAGCGAAGAGAAAATAACAAAGTACAGCTGTAAACATTAGCTCTAATGCGCTTGCAAAAGTCTTCACAATAGAATTCATATATTTCAAAAAGAAGCTGGTAACAATACCGATGGCCGCATTGTTTACTATAATAATGATTACATTAAATCGCCAAATAGCTCGTAGGCTATCTGCTGTGAAAGCGCCAGCCAACTGACCATTTATCAGCAATATTAGCGCATTGCAAATTATGGAATCGACATACATAAAGACATTCTGTACAAATATGTTGACATCAGCACCTTTGTCCTTCAGCAAATATTCGTTGTAAACACCAGCAAGACACGAAAATATCGTTTGTGCCAGTATGAGTACGGCACTGAGACTTAGGTCGAAACCGGTCATATTTTTTCCGCTTACCCTCGATACAGAGGCTGATGTCCCATTTAAGTTCGCTTGTTGCACTGCAGCAGCTTCACTATCGTCATTGGTATCTCCATAGAACTTGTTCAAATTAATTTGCTTTAACATACATCCGAGTGTGAGTAGTAAAAGCGAGATCCATTGGCGGCGCGTCAAGTACTTCTTAAAAATTATCTAAAATATAAAACAACGGAGTTGATAGTATATATGACAAGCGATTGTGACAAGAATAACAACTTGGCAAGACATTAAAATCGTAATATAAGACAGAGGTAAGCAGCTCATTTCGACCATTGAGTTGTTATGATTTAGTCATCCGGAATGTAAAATATAAAATTAATACTAACCTGAAATAGTACGCCAGTGATAACAACACGTAGCTGCAGTAAAAGGTAATACGTTGTTGGGTCAAACGTGGATAAGTTGATAAAAGCCAAATTGTTGTAAAGGCAATAGAGAAACGCGGGTACAAAGTAAAGCATCATGACATCTGAATCCTTCCGCACATCGCGTAGCAGACTGGGTAAGTTTCTTCTATTTAACAAAATATAAATGTATGTAAGTACGCCTTATACTTTTGGAGTTATTAAAAACGTCGGATGCATATACATATGCATATTGGATATGTATACATACTCCCTGCAATAGAGACTGGCAGACACAAGTAGTTTCAGAACTTCCGTAAGTAGCACCACAGTCACTGTGTTGTAGCTGTAGGAGTTATTGGCTTCTTGGGAAGCGGTTACAAATATTCCTGTAATGTAATTGCATATGTAAACATATCAGTTGTGAAATGATAACAGTACATACCTTGACCAATGAACAACGATATGTAGAGTAAAAAAATGACGAACGTAAGCTTTGTTGGAAACATTTCACGCCAATTAACGCCCATTTTGCTTTTTGAACAAGAATTCTACGAGCTATTCCCTAAACATGTAAAACTCAGTATGTTATTATTCATGTATTTTTGATAAACTATTGCAGTAAGTTGCGACTACAATGTTTATCTTAAAAGATTTTTTTGTTCTATTTCCGCAAACGCGCCGCCACTCTGCTGCACACTCTTTTAGTACACCACCTTATATAAACTCGCCTTGACTCTATTTCATTGTGCATATTTAAGCACACTGCTTTATTTAGGAATTAGTTTACTGCCGCAAATTTAATAATTGAAAAGCAAAAGGTTCTTTCCCGTACAACCCGGGCCGGATCCGGTATTTAGAGAGTAAGCGAAAAATTTGCTCTCAAAGGAAAAATCAAGGCGAATTTATAAATTCGAATGTAGGTGCGTTCGTTTAAAATCTCCAGCAGAAACCAACCAACTGCCAAATTTCGGCGAAATGTCATCTGTTCTCTCACAAGAGAGAAATATCCAAAATAGTACGCGAACAGAAAATTTGCAGAAACTTGCAAGTTAGACGAACAGCTGATATAATTTTTGTTTACATACAAAAGTGTAAAATTTAAAACGTACGAAAAGTCATCGCAAAGTGCTATACTGACACAGTTTATTGATTAAACAAATAACTACTTATTTCTTACAAGTTTAATTAGTCGCATTTTGTAATTTTTATCTTCCAAACCATCAAATTCAATTTTGTGATTTGCGTAAATGCCAACCAGCTGTTTTTGATCAGCTGTTTTCCTGTTGGCAAAAATTTTTCCAGCAGAAACCAGCAGCTTCCCCTCAAAAGGAAATGTCAGTTTGCTCTCTCAATTTCCCCTACTTTGCAAGTTTTTTGCGTAACAGCTACGCGAACGAACCTTGTATAAATTCGCCTTGGCAGCTCGTTTCCAGAGAACAATGTTAAATGTTAATTGTTAAATGTTCTCTGCTGACACCACCTTGTATAAACTCGCCTTGGAATCAGCTGACTTTTGGCAGAGAACGTAAATTATTTACGATCTCTATTTATTGCACAGTACTGCCAAATTTTGCTGTGCGAGTATAATGTTGCCCATCGCAACCGATGCTAGCACCTCATTAGAATAAATATTAAGATTTTTGTATTGCAATCGATATTTCGTCGATTGTTCTTTTATGTTCGTCCATTTTTAACGGTTGCTCGTTAGCCAAATATTTATAACTAATTTTTTCAAATTTCATTTTACGTAATTCCAGTAATTAGCACCCGCAACAGGGTTAATTATTATTGCAATCGATAGTTCGTCATTGTTCGTCCATTATTATCGTTTGTTCAAAATACAGACAAATTAAAATATTGAAACAATGTATTTTTTGTTCGTTTGGTGAAACACTAATTTTACTACACTAGATTCGTTCGTTTTGGAAAGAAGAACACTTTCGTCGTTTAATTTAACATTTTGAAGTAACTTAAATTATTAAACTTAAAAAAAAGATCGCAAAGTTTTCAAAATTACAAAATAGCTGTGACAGATATTCTGCATGCTGCCATTTTTATTTATTTATTTATTTTTTTTTGATTTCGTGTTAAACTCTTGAAACTCCACAGATACATATGTAATACATATACATATTATGTATATTGTTTTTGATGCTAACGTCCACTGCTTTCCATATGAACATTCTCTTTGAAAACTTCCCAAAGTTATTAAAACAAAAAACAACAAAGATTTTTTCGAGAGACAATGAAAAATGAGTAATTTCGGTGCTTTTTCGCCTAAATAAACTTCCTAAGGCTAAAGTGGTTCAATTGCTTGATTTATTTTTTATTGTACCTGTTTCTGGAATTCAATTGATTGAAAAGGGATGGACCGCACTGTATGAAAAGTCACCCCTGCCACACCTCACACCCTCAGATTCCTTGGGATCTGTTTGAAAATAGGGGAAATTTAGACTTTTTGTACTCTCTCTAAGCAATAAGCATTATTTTGCATTTCTCGTAACAAATGGTGGAATAAAAATTTGTAGGGAATTTAATTTCCCGCATTTCTTATACGGAAAATTGAAAACAAAACCTTTTTTATTGTAAATAATTAGCAAGCTACTACCGGATGAAAGTCGGTGGATAAATAAACAAGTTGTGATCATTGATCAAATAAAAATGTGCAATAATTACACTGGTTTACAGCAAAAATGTTCAATGGATGCCACTATCCAATCGACTTAATCTTTTATTCTATTGATGGTAGGTTTGCAAGATATTTTCAATTTACCGTTACTCAGCTCAAAACAAAAAGTACTTACACTTAATCACGTATATCTTACGAACCAATTTAATAATCTTAATATGAGAAACGGCAAATGAAAGCTAACAAAATTCTACATAGACCGTATATACATCACTTTTCGATAGGCCCGATAGTTACTGACAAATTAATTAATTATACAAGATTTTTTTTTTTATGAAAATAGAAAAAAAACACTTTAACAAGAGAAAAATTAAAAAAATAACAGGTTCTGTGTCAAATGTTTGCCTTGCCAGTACTGACTGGTCAAATGAAAATGAACGATTTTTTGTATGAAATAGGAGCAGGAAATAAAGTTATTCATGCGCCATGTCGTACATGGCCGTACTCGTACATAGTCGTACAGTGTTAGAGCCTCCGCACACTGTAAGATTTATCGGCCGACGATTTAGTGGGGCGCACTTGAAAAGTCTGTAGTGTGCGGTAGGTCTTAAAGTTTGATTTTATTTTCATTCGCAATGCCAACTTAAAATGAAAATATCTTGGGAAAATTATTTTATCTAGAAAAACAGTATACCGATCCGTAATCTACAAATTAAGTTTACGTGTCTCGCCATTTTTGTGGCCTTTTAGCATCCCTAAAGTGTTATTATTCAAAAGCGCCGTTTTGTCACCTAGTGCGGAACTTAAATATTAGGTGCCATTTGCACTAAATTAGGGTCAGTTGAAATCATAACAAAGCTATGAGGAGTAAACTGGCACCCAAGCATATTAGTTTCTTTTTCAAAATTAATAATTTAAGTGATATCACGCATTCGACCCCTCTGCTGAAATTCATGTATTTATGCACAGTTTGATAGAATAAATTGAAAGCGAATAAATTATTGCACTACCAGCATGGCCAAGCCTAAGGAGCTTAAAGTTAAGCAAGTTCTTTAGATACATCGCTGGACGTTCAACTGGTTGGCTGCCGGAGTGTCTGTTTGCTTGTCTGCTTTGACGCTCGACTCGACTAGCAAACTGTCTCTTTCCTAAATTGATTTCTGTGAAAGTTTTGGCTAAAAGTTTCTTCCGAAAACTTGCAACGATTACCACCAAAAATATGCCACGCAATGTGACGCCATCGGACACTAACGCAACAGCCGCCACACAGTGGTCAGAAACGATAATCTACTTAGAAGGAAAACATCATTTAACGAATTCCGTTTGCATGAGTTTTTATAACATTTAGTATTTAGGTATATTTTTGGTCTCTTCTTGCAAATTAATATAATATGTTAAAAATTAAAAATGACGGATCCAATATGTTTTTAAAAATGTTTTCTATTTTTATGAAATTCTTTTTGCAATATTCCAAAAATTCACAATTGAAATTACGAGTATCAATTCAAAAATGTGTCAATTAAATAGATATAAATATAAATATAAAAGAAATAACGTGTTCCGTGAAATAGAACCTGTCAAAAAAAAATCTCAGACCGTTATATGGGAGGCAGGCGTACATATTTAGGCGGACTCAAAGTTTATACGGGTGAAACAATAAAGTATGATAACACAGCAGTCTAAAAACATACATAAATACTTTCAACGGCATTCATAAGCAAAAAATAGTAGCACTTTACAAAGATATTTTTTTAATCCGAATTTCTTGCATTCATAAAGTTAGAATTTAAGATTAATGTTGATACGAAAAAACTAAACCAATTGGCATTTCTTACAGCCAGTTTCACCAAACTATTTAAGTGGAAATTAACTTTAATTTAATTTTTTATTTAAATCTCATTTTAATTATTTTCAGTTTCAATAAACTATTTATTTAAGTGAGTAAAAAGTGGTTGTAAAACAGACTAGGACTAGCTTTCGCTTTCATTTGTACTGAGAGCTTTTGAAAGCTTTGGCACGCTGTGTTGTAAAAGCAGGGCTGGTATACAAGTAAGCAGCAGATGCACAATGATCAGGTGATTAAACGTGTAACACCTCTGAGTGTGGTTATTCTGATTTAACTTTTATTTAAGTGCAGAGCATAGGTCACTTAAATCAAAATTAAAATTGATTGGTGAAACCGAAATTAAAGTAATTTTCACTTAAATAATTTGGTGAAACTGGCTGTTAGAGACATAAATATGACGCACTTACCTGACATTGATGCTGCCATTGGAAAATATTATATAGAATTGTCGAGGCACTTCAATATTTTGTTACAATGTTTACGACAGCAGCAAGCATATAGAACTTGTGTCCTAACTATAACGTATTTACTCCATATAATATGCTTTTTTAACCAAAGAAATGTGGGTTCTTTTGCATCAACTAATGTGTTGCAGAATCGAAAGAAAAAAAGTTTGAATTTGACACTTCACCAAAATCACAAATGTCCCACTAGATTACCGTTTCGGAACACTGTGCGCCAGTTGCTTATGTATGTATGTAGTGATAGCTGATATTGTTTTTGTTTGTTCTGCATACACAATTAATTATAATTGACTATCTCAGCCTCTGTTGCATCATTTAAAAGACAAAAAGTCACATGGAGTGGCATAAACCCGTCTCTAAGGGGAAATAAAGAAAGCTTGAAGAATTATTTGCTGAGCACTATTCAGTGTTAAGTGAAACTTTGCCAAAGTTACGTTGCGCCATGGCAACTAGCGTGTGTATATTTACATTGGGGTGGTCCTTAATTGTTGGAAGCAAATTTTTACATCAGATTTCCTAAGCCTCAACCCCTACGTCGATGGCACTATAGTCACTTATGAATTTTGGTCCCGAAAATTAACTTTTTTTCATATAGTATCCTAAATCGATACTACGTTAGTCGAAGATATCACATATAAATTTTGGCCACGATTGGAGTCAGTTAAGGCGTGTCGCACACGGGTCAAAGTTCAGATTACCTTATGAAAACGTCTTAACCGATATTTTCGACCTTGGTAGTATCGACTTTTGGTATTAAATGAAAATAATATTTTTACGATTTTGACTCTGCATAGAGGCATGTGGCCTTGTGACACGCCCTAACCGTCTCCAATAGGGATTAAAATTTATATGTGATACCTGTGACCGTGGTATTACCGATTGAGGGATGAGACTGAAAAAAATCGTCCATTTTATTTTTAAGAACCGC